TCCCTATACAGCAGGCAGGATCAGATAAAGAAGTTGCGAGGTAAAGTCTCAAAGTGTGTCAAGAGGTGTCCAAGTGAGAGGGTTAATTTACTGGGAAATATTTCACTGAAGAGTTTAAGTTCTCCTCTGCCATGTTCATTCCTTCTGAATCAAAATGAAATCTGATTGCTAGTAGTTAAAAGATGATAGAGAAATCATATATAGAAAAGCCCACAGTTTGGGATGAATTAATCTCAGTTGTAAGATACAGCAGTTTGATGTAGTTGTTGGAGGGGGTTGCTTTTGTTTTTGTTTTTCAAATATAGAACACTGGAATGGCTACAGTGGTTCAGACCACAACTTGGTGCAAGTACTCAGCATTGTCCTGGAACAGATGATCTGTAGGACAGGGCAGGACGGGGCAATCATTTAATCCTGCTTCCCCACAACACCGTCCTAGCTGCTGATGATCTGTGATTCAGGGGGTTCCTGAGAAAATCAGTGTCTTTCTATTAAGACGTTTGGGATTGTTTTTTGATCTATGAACTAGTCCAATTTCTTTTCATGTATTTGTAAACTTTTAACATTCATAACATCCCCCGGCAAGACATTTCACACCCACTTTGCACGGTGTGAAGAAGTTCAGAACAAATGAAAGGAAGTGCTTTTTCTTTCACTGGATAATTACATTGTTATCGGATGTTGTGGATATCAAAGTGGTGGTTCCAAGAGCAGTTGTACAAACTCATGGAAGGAAAAATCCAGCTACGGCAATTAAATGCAAAAATAGAATTGCTGGCTCTGAAAGTACCTAAGCTGCAGATACCTGAAAAACAAAGAGGATACCTCAGGAGAAGCATGCCCTGAAAACAAAGAGGATACCTCAGGAGAAGCAGCCCTGCCCATAAACCCAGGCACTGGCTGTTAACCTGATTGACCTTTGTTGTAGCTCAGGACAGTTGTCTATATGTTCTTCACTGAATTGTCTGTATTGTTTGATGACTTTAAAGAAGTGAATGAAAATCAGACAAAAATCATTTTGGTGTTCCTCATCTCTTAGCTCCTTTCATGCTGATGTAATGCGGAGTTAGTTCCTGAGCAAGGTTTTGCAGAGGATAGGAATAAGGCTTCGTACCTCTGTTCTCTATCTTCAAGGAAGCCTCATCATATATTTATGAGCACTTGCTTCTCTTTCCGATGATATTCAGTGCAGAGTGCTGCTGAAAGCTCTCATATCACTTGAAAAAGTTTCATATTTCATTATGCAGATGACAGCTGTTGGTTATTCCCTCTTATCATAAAGGGTCTCTAACCTCAGTAGTCAGTAGCTCAATAGATACCAGGATTGTTCCTCAGGTTTACTTTTACTTAGACAAGTAGAGTTGTGCCAGAATATAGCTAACTGAGAAACAGCTGGGCATAGCTATCCAACAGCTAGAAATCTAAATATAATCATGCATCTGACCAGTGCATCATTTCACAATAGTTCTCATTGCTATGCGAATCTAACGAGATCAGTTAAATTACAAGTATGTGCTCTTCTGCTAGTCCTGTAATTACTGAAACCTGTCAATGTTACAGGAGTCAGCAAAGCTTTACGTATCAAACCCATATGAATTTCCATTCTGTGCACTAAGGATTTGCACTGTGTCACACTTATGGCGACAAGGGTTTGAGTACACACCCCAATATCTCTCTCACTGCCTGCCAGACAGCCTTCCTGGCAGCCAGCAACCCTCACAAGTCAGTTCTGCTGCTTCTCCTGACTTCAGGTGATGTGTGTCCTTCACATGGGTCATCCCTCCTCTCAGCTGCAGAGGGCCTTTGGAGAAGGTCTCGCTTGTATATTTGGTTGCTGCGCTGTTCTCTCCAGAAAGGTTTCTTGTTCTTGAGGACCCCTTATGCTTCAGGCAGTACTTCCTCCCTGTGCATTCAGATCCCTTTCTTTGTGGAGAATGATAGTTTTTATTTGCCAGCCTCTGCTTTGAAGAGGGTTCAGGAAGGTTAACACTTCAATCCCCAGACTCATTTGACTCCTCTCCTATGCAGCAGTTCATCTGGCTATTTTTCTTAATTAAAACAAGCGGTTCTGTTTCCTTGGAAATGGAAACTATACATTTGTCAGGTGCCATCTGTGATATTAATCAGTCTTTGTTGCAGTGAGAGGTAGGACTCTTCACAGACCTTTGCTTGGTGATTTGCTGGTGTTTCTCCTTGGGAATTGTCTATATAATGCGTATCGTCAGTGTGTTAAGAGATACATTTAATTTAATTATTTCATTAATATGTATGCTTTCTATTTATATGTGTTTTATTATTGGCTTTTGGCTGACTAAGCTCAGCAATTAATATGTTTGGGTTGAGTAGTTCTCAGCCCCTTCCTCTGAAGAAAATTGTAGCATGTACCAAATCACATGTATTTGAAATTAGAGTTATGGTAAAACTACATTTCTCCAATGAAAGGTATTGCAACTATCCTCAGTGTTTCAATGTGCAGTCAAGATCAACAGCACAGCATGGCTGTCTGCTTTTTATATATGAGTTGAAAGTGAGCTGGCTGCAGTTCAGCTCAGCAAAATAGAGATGTTGATGACAATTTAGGTGAAAGAGCAAAACTATACAGCAAAAGCAGTGTTGGCTCCTTCGGGTGATATTTTTCATCATTTAAGTTTGTGACTTTTTATGAGGGATCCTCTCCCCTTCATTGCTGTTAGTCACGCTCCAGTTAATAAGCCAGTCAGCTTCTTGTCATCCACATGTGGCCAGGACTTTCTAGCCTCTGCTTTTTAATGTGGATTTTGGTTCTTATGCAGTCTTTTGTTGTACTGTAATTAGATTGATGCATAGCGTTGCTCCTGGACCTAGTTGTAGTCACTTGGCGACAACAATTCAAGAACTCATTTGGTTATTACATGGTGGGAATTTCAGTGGTGTCTGTGCTCGTTGTTTTTCAACAAGGTTGCCCACTTTTAGGGTTACGTATGTAGGGTTTGGCAATAGAAGATCATGAGCAGCAATGGTGGCCTTCTGGGATTTCTGAAAACGTCAAGTTGTTAAAAGGGCTTCAGGAGCTCGCTAAGGATACGTTCCTCAGACTAGAGGCAGGAAGAAACCTTTTCTAACTGCTTGTCTGTCTGGCTTGGTAGGACTATTATTTTTATCTGAATGTTTATTTTTTAATGCTTGTGACAGACTGTTCTGTTGCTTGCAGGGAAGAATGTTATACACAGTGTATGCTGTGAAATGTGACGTTAAACAAATGTGAAAGTCTCTTTTCTCCCATCTTTCTCATTTTTCCTTTCATTTCTGTCCAGTCATGGCCAGCCACAGTGTTAAGTTCTCTTGCTTTCTCTGAGACATTCTTTGGACTACTTCGGCAGTTTTGCTCAAGGAGCAGACTGAGTTCCTGTAATTATTTGTGGTGGCCTAAAAGAGAGAGAGCTGAGACCAGTCAGGAAGAAAGTATGAAGATGAAAACATGGTAGGCTTTTAACTGAATCATATTGAAGAGAAACCCACAAGTTATTCTGCGTACTTTGGATTGATCAGTAATATATCTCGGCAGTGTGAACCTTTCACTTCGGGAGAGACAAAGCTTTGAGCGTACCTTCCCAAGAGATCACTGTGTGATTGAAAAAGTGTTGTTTTCATTCAAGTATCTTTATAAACATGAAAAGATCAAATAAATAAGAAAGAAAAAGCCTTATCATAATAGCAATTCTGGACTTCTCAGCAAATCGACCTAACAGGATCCTTAACTGCATAAGGTTACTTTACTGCAGTGAAAAAAATTTGTAGGCAAATAATAGTTAAAAGATGCATCAGTGTTTTTTGATGTAAGGGTGAATTTTAGTATGAATTTTACTTCAGATAACAGACTGCAGGTCTTTATCATTTAGAATATAGAACTTTATTTCTCCATAGCTTTTTATGTACGTAGCACTTCATGGACTACAGCTTCTGACTGTTATTTTACTATCAACATCCTCCTTATTTCATATCTGGCTTGTATTCTTAAACTTTTATTCAGTGATACACTGAAAATGCAAACGCACATGACAATGCAAAAAAAATAATTATATTATCTGGTTTTAAGTTGGTATGAAAACCAATTCAACAGTCTCTGTTGCTGCAGGTTGAAATGGTAAAGTGGATGAGGGCAAAGACTTGGCTAAATATCAGTTAAGTTCAGATACTGAAAGCTCTAGTGTCCTTGGCTGCTCATAAAATTAAAGAAGTAGCTGAGCCTTTTAGTTGTGCTTGGAATAAGGAGTAAGACTGGAGGATGCTGCTTGTTCCAGTAATCACAATCTTAATTCCTCCATGATGTGAGCTTGCCACCAATCCATCAAACTGACAAGGGAGCCTCTGCCATACTGAATGTTTTTTTTTTGTTTTTTCTTTAATAAGAAGGAAAATGTTGTGCTATATTGTGCAATTTAAAAAAGTCTACACAGTAAAAGTCTGTATCCATTTGAATAAGTGGCAGCAATAATTCTATTCTTGCAGACAGAATGCAAATAGAATAATTTTTCTTTTAGCATATTCAGTAAGAAGATTAATATAAGCTTGCAAACTTCTTAGTAAAAATCTTTATTCTCTCAACAGAATGCGATACAATTACTACTTGGATGCTGATAGTAAATGAACTGTTTTATTGAATTGTCATAATGAAATATTGGAGGATGGTGTATGATAGTTCTTATAAAGACTATATTTGAGGAAGACTTTGTAGAGGAGGCAAAAGAGGGCAGGAAATTTTGTTTCAAAAAGAGAGATAAAGAAGTGGCTGCTGGTAGCTACCATTATAGCCTGTAGGTGCTCCTGGCTTCCAGTACAGTTTGGAATCAAATTCTTAACTTCAGGTATATGTTTTATTAATACTCTGCTGCAAGCTCAGGAATTAAGCCGTGACTACATAAGTTATTATGAATGATTGATGCTACTCTATTCAAGGATTGATATTCATATCTTTTGCAATACTGACTAGTATCACTTTGTTTTCAGTCCTGGTGTCAGTTATGGTAAAATTCTTTACACCTGAAGTAATGATCAAACTAATTATCAGAGAAGCCCAGAATAAGTCAGGTTGGAAGGGGCCTCAGAAGGTCATTTAGTCCAGTCTCTGCTCAAAGCAGGGTGAGCTATGAGAGCAGACCAATTAATTCTTAACACTTTAAAAGAATATTCTTTTGATATTTTTTGAAGACTTTGTGTTGTCCTTCTAAGTAACAGGCTCTCTACTATATATTTTTGCACAGAATACTGAGGTTGGACCTTAAGGAGAGGTTACTTAGGACTCTTCATTGGAGACAGAACTTTCTTTACAGAGACCTTGAGTAGTGTCAAACTTTCCTCCAGCTATGGAAGCCCTGCTGACATCTGGTGTTACATTCTAAATTTTGCTTTGGGAAGTGGTAGCTCTGAATATAGAAAGGGTTTCAGTCAACGATATTTTGTTGGGGCTTTTTTATTCTTTGTCAAATGGTGGTATCAAAATTCAGATGTTGCAGCTTTGGCTTGGAAGGAAGACATAAGGGGTTTTGAATGAGGTAAGGAGGGGTTTTCCTGTTCTTGTACTACAACACGTTAGGGGTCCAGAACAGAGTGCTCCAATTTTTCATGTTTGGATCTTAAAATGTTATATATTGTACAATTTTTACATCAGTGCAACCCCCAAATCTTTTTCTTGCCCAGTAGTTTATTTCTTAGTTAATGATGTTATTTGTGACATTGAATATTGCCTCTTTTTGTTCTTCCAGTGTGACAATGCAAAAGGACTCAAAGCCTTCTACGATGCAATAAAATATGGACCTAATCATCTGATGGTTTTTGGTGGCGTATGTGCAACAGTTACTTCTATCATTGCTGAATCTCTAAAGGGATGGAATTTGGTTCAGGTAAGGCATGGAATGGAACATATTCAAATGCTGACTGTCTTGTATTTCTATCTTTTTTTTAAATTTAGAAACTTAGTATTTAATGTTTTTCAAGCTTAACATTTTGTGTAATTAATATATCTCAGTTTTGAAGGTCAGTGAAGTTATGTGTAAAGAAGAACAGCTACTTCTGTATAGTACTAGATTTTAAGGCTTGGCATTGTGCTCAAAATGCTTGTGAGTGTGGGGCAGCAGTCATGTGTCTCAATAGATTAATTAAATAAAATTAATGTATCTCAAAAAGCAACCTAAATGAAATGAAGTTCAGTCATGGTAGGTGAGCAAATCTAGGACTTATCCAAAGTTAGAGGAAACTGCTCGTCAGGCCTTAAATTATGGTACAGTGGGGTCTTTACTCAGTCTCCGGTCAGTCGTAATGCAATAATTCCTATTGGATTTAAAAGTGTTGGAAGTGCATAAATTGTAAGTAGTAACTGGGTATGTATCTCAGTATTTGACTCACAAAGCACATTTATTCCCAGCTGTTCTTCTTTCTGACTTTCTCAAAGGTCAAGTTTGTGGAAAGGTTCCCTCTGCTGAGGAATCAGAATTCATTAATACTAATCTTTAAAATGCAGATGATAACAGCATGGTTTTCTTTATTTCTTCAATCATCTGTCCAGTGATGATCTTTGGATTGATGGCTGTTCATGCAAGGTAGCCAGCCAGTTTTGCTTTTCAGATGTGAAAATGCCCTGGCTTCCTACTCAATATTCATATTGCCCAAAGATAAGTTTGTATCATTTTTATTAAAATAAAAAAAATTCTATAGGAAAATAATAAAATAATAATATATAATATATATTATATAAATAATATAATACTGAGGTTTCAGTAACAAACAGACTCCTCTTTTCCACCTGGAATACTCACTGAGATTAGTGCAGAATGAACAAATGAGGCATAATTAAGTTTGTGAAGAAGACGATGATCAGAGTACAAATGGGGAAATCTTAGGAGGATAATTAAAGTAGCTTGTTAACTCTGTTTGCAATGCTTGTCATATCAGATCTTTTTTTCTTATGCTTCAGGATTTTTTCTGATGTGAAAAACATCAGTTCTACTATGGAAACAAAATAATAGTGTATCTCTGGGGAGAACGGAGAAAGCAACAGAAAGCTTGAAACTATCGTTTAACACTCTCTCTTAAAAATGGCCTAGCTCATGGCCTACAATGAAGTATGTGGCTGGAGCTCTGTTTTTATTGGAATTTGTCACATAGAACTTCCAGATGATGTAGGATGTTTTAAGGAGTTGGATTTCATTGTGCTAAATCCTTTTCATTTGCAGTCAAGTTCTCCCTGCTAAGGTCTGAAAATCAATTTGCTAATGCAGTTGCTCAGTCAATAAGGAAGGGCAATTAGGAAACTTCTATTTGCTTTTAAATGCCTGAATTTGTCAATATATGTGTTAACTTATATAATGATATGAAGCATTGCTACCAGACAGCATCTATTTCTTTGTATTTAACCACTACAGCTGTGACTAAGTCTTAAACATTATTAATGATATCAGTACATCAAGGGATTCTCTGCTGCTCGGGCTTAGTATCCTGCAGGCACTAGATAAATCCTCACATGGCATAACTCCACTTCGTGTCAGGTTTTTATATATTGATTGACTGAATGATGGAAGAACATAAATGACAGCATGGCTGGGAAGTGTGGCAAGGCTTAGTGGATGGTATAGGAGGAATGGAAACAGTCTAAATACAGTTTGTGAAAGTGTTATGTCATATGGTGACAGCAATATGTGTATCTGCAAATCAGCAGACATAGCATGTATAAGATAGTGGGGAAACGGAGTACAAATCCTTCCACTTCTTTGGATCCAGTGTCATGAACATCTTTGATTAAAAGCATAACTGGAATAGAAGGAATGGACAGAAATCTGTCGTTCTTGGAAGTGGAGCAATAATATTCAGCCTGATAAAATACAAGATTGTCCTCCCTCAAAACTTGAAACTTCACATCAGGGAATCACAGCAAACGCACATAAATAGTTATATGAATTTGTGATCATGGTGAAGTAATTTTATGTTGCAATCAAGAAGAGGGAAAATAGCATATAAGCAAAACCTAACCTGACGTATTATTGAATAGAGGATATGTGTTTGGATGTCTGACTCCCTCGTTTTTTCCCTGTGCAGGCAGTCAGGAAAAGAGGGCTCTTAACCCTAGCAGGAATATTTCATTTGATTTACACAGGTGTCATGTGGTTGAGCAAAGTGATGACTGTCTTCCACACAAGAGAAATGCAGGATGATACTGAGAGTACTGGGAGGAATAGGGAAGAAAAGAAGAGTAACAGAATATAACAACAGAAAAATTACTTTCCTTAGCAAATACAGCATGAGGCTGACTGCTTCCAAAACTTTTCTAAAAGCCTTTTAGCCCTGAATTCCAAGTTTCTGGGTGACTGCTTTTCCTCTCTTTGGGGGAATTGTTCTTTTCTGCCTCTTCCCCATTCTCTACAGTAAAAAGTCTCCCAAAACAAACAACGAAATAAAAGGCAAAGAGTACAAATGTGCTGGAAATTATAATGTTGCATTTGCTACTCAGGCAACATTATAGTAGTGTTGAGAGGGGAAAAAAAGGAAATAAATTTTTGCAAGGCTGCTTCAGTCTCTACTCTCCTTACTGTATGCTGTTATTAATGATACTGTCTTTTTGACTTTTACTTAACTGGTTAATTCAGGTCACTGATGGCCTGCAACAATGTGAAATACGGATGATTATCAGAGCTTGAGAAGAGTCTCAGTCTGAAGGTGACTTGCCTTATTTCTGTACCATATCTAAACAGAAGGCACTTTTCCTCCCCCTTCTTGACAAATTTTGATTTACTTATGATCAGCAGCAGAATGAGAGATTCTGTTCTCAATTGGCTGCCTTCAACTGCTGGCTGATTTAACTATCTCTTACTGTAACAAAATTAATGATTTTTTAATGGAGCATTTTGTATCTGTGGAAAGAGCAAGTTGTTTTAGCCTGCAAACACTTACATCATCCTTAAGGGGTTTCACTGAGGTATGCTAGGTGACAGAACCTGCAAACTGTTTTCTGAACACACATTCTCAGTAGGACAGATGCAGACACCTATTCCTTAGCTTCTGAAATCCAACAAGTGAAAAGCTTCTCCGTGAATAATCTCTGTGTGCCAGTAGTCCTTACTTTGTTGACTGACAGTCTGAGCATGGGTTGAACACTGCATGTGCGGCTTTGATCTCCAGTCTGTGGTGTGGAATCCGTTTGAACCTTTGGGATATTGGTTAAAAAGTGCCAATAATATTCTGTGCATCTGACAGTGGGTCATAAAGGCATGAAGGTATAATACGGGGCAGTTACTGTGCTGTGGGGGGAATATTTCAATGTCAAATTCTTCCGGATTCGTCTTTTCCCCATTCCCTTTCAACGTGTATTCAAGGCAATTGAACAGAGTGAAGAAGAATCATTAATAGTATCTACAATATATTGCAAAAGGCCAGTTATGTATTTTTATTTCGTACACTGAAGCATTTCTGCTAGTATCCAGGTAGCGCAGAACAGACAAGATGGTTTGCAATTCAGTCTTTCTTTTCTATTTCAGGATATCCATCAACTGTTTACCTCTCCATGTGAATTTCTTACAGTGGCAAAAGCATCTAATTTGTATAAATTACTGTTTTTTCCTATTTTCCATTGTCACCTCTCACTTTTCCTGGTTGACATATTAACATAAACATTTAACCAGGATGAGGATTTTGACCAAACTGGTCATCTCTCTTAATTTGTGAAACTCTTTCTCCATTTTGGAGATTTGTCTTTTTCTTTCATTATGTCATTTTCATTCTCTTACAGCCTGCTTTGTTACAATTTCCTTTAACTCTGAAGATAAGCCTCTGCCAGAAACAAAGTATAAATGTTACTGCTTCCTTGGAATATCCTCTTTCTACATATTTAATGTAAACTGGTCATAACTGCTGACTTCTAGGCAGGTAACTGCTACAAGTGATCCAGTGATTACATCATTCAAAACAGAGAAACCTTGTTTTGGATTCATCATCTCATGTAGGAAAGTTTTCTAAGAAAACTATAGGTACCCTAATCATGATGCATTACTCATTTTGTGGGCTGGACTACCAGCAAATATAAGTTTCCCATATTAATATACGGTAGGTTCACATGTTAGAAAGGAAAAACTCCTTTAGTTCTCTAGCTCAATGTAGTTGAGTATTAAAGAGCCTACCCTGAGATTTGTTTTATTATCCCAGAAATCCATAGGTGTTCAAGATCCCATCTCTGAATTACCAGAAAGACTGCTGATGTTAAAGAAAATCAATGATGTTTCTAGTCCTTGGTTTCCTTCTGAAACAAGGCTGATGTGATTGCATTGTCAGTTCCTCCTAAAAATCTCTGACCTCTGGCCAATTGCAACCAAATTTTAACAAAAGATTTCCCAAAGATGATTAGCTTCTACACATTTCTGTGAAAATGAGCTGCTGAGGAGAGGGATCCACATGAACAAAGCAGAGGCTGCAGCGTGAGCACAGAGATAGCTTGGAGCCAGCCATGACATGTGCTCCTTGTCCAGCTGCTGTTTATGGGAAGGGGACTGATTGCATTGAGAAGAGAGTTAAAAAAGCAGCGGAAAGAAAGCTGAGAAAATGCAGAGGAGGGGTGAAGCCCCGAAGGTTATGAAGTAGGAGCTGGTGTGTGTGTGTATGTGTGTAGAAGCTTAGGACACATGTATCTGTAGGAAACCAGGCTTTGTTAGCTGGCTCTGTTACTCATCAAAATTCTTGTTAATACAGAATTTCACAACTATATGCAGGTTATAACCAGTGTTTTTTAACACTTACGTAATGCAAGTCATCACAGAGGTTTCTATACTGGCCACTGAATCAAATTTCTTCTTGTTAATATCTGAATTTTCTAAATCCTCATGCTTGTTACCCAGAGCTCTGGCATGGGCATATAAACATT